CTATTGTCACAACCCTTGATTATCTCCCAGAACTTGAAAGTAAGGCCCTATTGCTGATGACAGGACAGGACATACTTCAGACACAATACTTAGAACAATGGAACTGGAACTAACCTGGAAGCTTCTACCTGAAGACTAGTTCTCATAGGTCTAGATAAAGTAGCAGCTGCTAAGGGAGAAATCAATCAGTGGTCCAAACCAGCTCCAAAGCCTAATAATCACAATGGCTGGCACAGCAATCTGTCTCTATTGGTTCAGTAGTGGCAATTTTATCTAAGGGATAATCAACAGCTGTTTAATTGAACTTAAATCCCTCTCAACGGGAGGTAACTCACGGGTGTCACTGTAAATATAGTTAGATACACATGGCTGGATGGGTCATAGATCCTAGAAAAAATCCTATCTCTACCATATCTATAGACAAATGAAATTTCTTACTGTATGCTCAGTATGGATCTTTATACTCCAAGAATACAGACAAGCATACCATACACCACTCATCAAAGAATCTTCTTTTTGCAATAGATGGAGGATATTACAGAGTTACACAAGTGGTCACACACACAGAATATATGTCTGAGAGATGCCCAGCCCTAAGTTACACACCTACAGTGGAACCTCTTCACCTAATGATCATGGAACACAGTAGAACAGGGGATTGAGAAAATACTAATACATCTCTCTACTCTGACTAGTGAAGCTTTCTCAGACAACAAAGTGGGATGCACACAGAAGGTCACAACTGGCCAAGTTTTAGATAACGAAAGACTGAAGACTATGTCTCTTTGGATAGGACTCCTATATTGAACCTCACCCAAGCACAGCTCAGGGGGACCACTGTGGAAGAGCGGGCAGAAAGATTGTAAGAGCCAAGGCTTGGTACATGAATCTAAGGAAACAGGCTTTCAGGTCACTGGTAATTTGTTCACAAGAACTTGCAACAATGGTGACAGCATGCACAAGACCCATGCTGACTCCGCCATAGAATGAGGGAAATGAGAAGCAGGCTTCAACCCTAAGCAATAAACTATTGACAACTGACTACTGAAGGGTGAGGGAGAGTAGATCTTCTTTAAGGGAGAGACTCTAGACAGGCTGACTAGTGGATAAACTTGCATGGAGGGACATCTGGGTACAAACGCTTGACTGGATAGGCCTTAGCATATATGACAGAATGCATGAAATCTGTAAGAAGGAGGCTATGGTGGGCACAGATGTGGCTCACAGTTATGAGATTGCCTGAATCTTAGAAGAGACTGCAATTGTACTTTTGAGTAGTGTTGGAACAGTGAAACACTATTGGCACATTTGAAGTTGGACTGTGAAAAGTCCATGAGATTATTGTGGGAAAGAGTGGAATTTTAGGGGCTGTAGTCGTGGCTTGGGGGATAAGAACACTTGCAGTTCTTCCAGAGGACCTTCGTTCAACTTCCAGCACCCACATGATGGCTTTAGCTCTGTTGCTGTCTTCTGGCCTTTGCTGGCACTATGCACATACCAGTAAACTGTTCACAGTCCAACTTCAAATGTGCCCAAATAAAACTTTTTAAATTACTTAAAAAATAAGAGTGGCTCACTAATGAGTGAAAGAGAGTAGACCTTACTTACCATCTCTAGATAGGCTGACTATTCTCCAGTGGATGAACTTGCACTGAAGGACATCTGGATACAAATGCTTGACTAGATAGGACTTAATGTGTATAGTGGAATGCATGAGGTCTGGCAGGGGAGGGATGTTTGGGGGATTGTGGGAAGGGGTCTAAATTTGATTAAGAACTGTTGTAAGAAATGTACAAAAGCTCAATAACAATTTCTTAAAAAGAGCAGAATTTTATGTCTTAAAAGTGATTTCTTTGGGTGTCAAGTTGACAAGGACTAAATTTGTGATACGTAATCTTAAACTGTTAACTTGATAGGATTTAAAATTACCATAGAAACACCCTCCTGATATTCTGTGAAGGCATTTTTGGATCATATCAATGAAAGTGGGAAAACCCATTTTCTAAAGTCATGAAAGAAAAGAGCAGAATTTTATGTCTTAAAAGTGATTTCTTTGGGTGTCAAGTTGACAAGGACTAAATTTGTGATACGTAATCTTAAACTGTTAACTTGATAGGATTTAAAATTACCATAGAAACACCCTCCTGATATTCTGTGAAGGCATTTTTGGATCATATCAATGAAAGTGGGAAAACCCATTTTCTAAAGTCATGAAAGAAACGTGATTTTAATTTCTTTGGGTGTCAAGTTGACAAGGACTAAATTTGTGATACGTAATCTTAAACTGTTAACTTGATAGGATTTAAAATTACCATAGAAACACCCTCCTGATATTCTGTGAAGGCATTTTTGGATCATATCAATGAAAGTGGGAAAACCCATTTTCTAAAGTCATGAAAGAAATCCGTGATTTTACTACCATTATTTTACATCAGGTCTTAATAATTAATGATTTTTTTTGTTATTCTATAAGAAAAAGAAATATAAAGAATTATATATAGCTGCAAATATCTGTTTCTTATACACAGGGATAAAGATGGAATTCAATATTTTGAGAATAATCTTTCGACTAATGCAAAGCTATCACATAAATGGGAGAAATTGCTACCAAGACATGCAAATGACAATCGTATAAGCAAGAACAATAGAAAACACCAGCAACGATTGGGGTTACTTAAGAAAGAATTTAAACATGTATGAAAAAAAACTGGGAGGATGGAGAGATGGCTTAGCAATTAAGAGCACTGGTTGCTCTTGTAAAGGATCCAGATTCAGTTCACAGCATCCATATGATGGCTAACAACAGTCTGTAACTCCAGTGTGTACATACACACATGCAGGCAATACACTTATACATACAAGATAAAAGTAATAAATGCAATATTTTAATAAATCAAAAAGAAAACAAAATTTTATATGTTTTCTTCAAAACATAACACGCAACATGCTCGTTTGTATAGTGTGGGATATGCTTTTGTCAATTCGTTCTACTGAAAAGATTGAAAGAAAAGTTACACAGTTAGCTCAACGTTTTTTTCCTTATTACATTTTAAGATTGCTTTTGGACTTTTGAAATTGTTGAAACTCTTTTAGTTGAGTGAAACTGACCAAATATTCAGTTTGGACTTAGTAATCTTTGAAGCTGAGAAATTTGATATTATAAGATTTTCTGTCTCTGTATATATCTAAATACCTAGGAACTTATCTTAATAGTTTTCATTATTGTTTATATGTTAAAATTTTAAAATCAACTCTCATTTGAAGGCTGACATATTTAAATACATTTTTTTTTTCCTTACTAGCATTCCATTACAAGTCTAAAGTCTTTGAACTTAGATTTGGGTCCATAGCCTGAGGGCTTTAAGTGTTTTTCCAGAAGGTTATCCCTTTTTTAATGCCTGTTTCTTCCACTGGATTCAGTTCAGTTTTTCTAATAGGAAGCATACTTTCATTAGCATTGATCCACATTTTACTGTCATTTTACTTTATCGGTTTAACTAAGAGTATTTATAATCAATGCACCTTTAAATTTTATATTTCAAATTATTTTTTGAGTATTTGTTTCCTGCTACAGTGTTCTTTCAAAAACTAAGCAAAATTTTAGATTTCTCAAATAAGAACATCTGTATAGCACAGTGTGGTATCAGAAGTTTCCTGAGCTTAAATGGTTCAGGGTCTTTCTACAATACCTATTAGATGCACAGGCCATGAGAAAAAAAAAACCACCAATGGACTTGTTTTATGGAGAAAATTAATTCTTTACATTAAAAAAGCAATAGCCTACAGGCTTTTTATCCACAATCATGTCTGATTTGGGAGTATCTTCCTACATTTACATGAAAGGAGCGATCAAAAGTTGACATAGAATTTTCAAAGACAATGGACAGCTCATACAAAATAACTAACTTTTTTACTTCAGATTGTTCCAAAGACTTAACACTCATTCTTTTATTAAGTGCATGTGTCTAAAATACTTAATAGAAAATGTAGTTTGCTCAAGGTTAGCAGTCTTCAGCAGGTACCGGGTCTGGTTCCTCCTACATACCCCATCTATACTTGGAAAGAATGTTTGGTCCTTGTCTTAAACACATAAAACACTTATTCACCCTGATCTCAGGTCTCTTCTGTTTTCCATCTAATTTTTTCTTATTCCAGGTTCTTCCTTTTCCTTCCTTCCTCCCCACCCACTCAACACAACCACATTCTGAAATCCTCAGCGCTGCTCTTTGTTTCTCGAAAAATGAGTGCTTTCCTGCATTTCCTTCAGAACTTTGGTGTGTCGGGTCCCTCCTCTGAGACCACTTGCTCACCTTACATCCATAATGTTCCTCAAGTCTCACTCAGCCCTATAGAAGTTCAGACCTGACCCTTTTGCAACATTTTCCATTCCTTTTGCATAACAAAACATTTCTTTGGAAGGTGCAACTAAGAATCCCAAAGCAAATTCAGTGACCCAGCACAGAAGGAAGGTTTTGTATGAAATGAGAAATTTTACGAAGCTATAGTTACACTGAGGTACATTATGGTCAGTGCCTAGCTGATTGCATTTTCATTTGTAGTGTGGAAGCAGTGCCAAGAAATCGAATCAAGCTGACTGTGATGGCAGATGTTCCCTAGAATTCCATGCTGTTTCAGAGAACTTCAGAATGACCCCTGATGATTGGGACGTGAAGTCTGATATTGTGTATAATTACCTGCAGTTTCTACAAAGCCATCACAAGGACACTGGATGGCAACCCGTTAAAAAGCAATGTTGTAGCTATTGCTTTCTAAATGTCTTAAGATTAGAATCATGAGGAAAACAAACCTGCAACGATTTCATTTTTTTTTTAAAGTGGCTTCAGATTGTCTCTACTGAAATTTCAAAGTAAACGTTCATTAGCAATTTTGACACAGAATAAACATTTGTATTGATTTGATTATTCAGTTTTTGCCAAATGCCTCTTATATATCAAACATGTTTCAGGATTCATTTACAAAATGTATAATTTGCAACTTACCATGGGCCATGCGATGGAACCAGTAGTAGCCAAAGTCAACTCCCAAGAAGGTTAAATACCAAGTCCATGGACAATCCCAAGGCAATTCCAAAAGTCTATAGTTCTCCCAGATATAAATGTAACTAGTCACTTCAAAGCTCCTGAAAAACAGGCTGGAAAATAAAATTGATAAGCAATCATTAGACCATACTTCACTTCCACAATTATGCCAAAATGCTCTATTTAACATTTAATACAAATATAGCCTGTATAAAGGTGGCATCCTGTTACCACTCATGTTGCTTCTTCATGTTCTGCATTGTCTTTTACATGCTCACTATCCATAACATCAACCGAATTCCCTTAATACTTCTTGTTTTCCATGGGCATATGGATACCAGTTGTTTGCACTATCAATTTCATGGAGTTTAGAGATTCTACCTTTTTTCACATTTCTTAAAATGCTTTTTTGTGGAACTCATACAAATAACTCTTATAAAACTACATCGAAATTTCTGCTACTGCCATTTCTAAATTTGACTGATGGACACAGTAAGGATTATGGTTTATAAAGGACGCACCAACGGCAGAAAAGCAGACATGGCATATCTCTTAAGGAATCTGAAAACTGCCTTCTGTCTTTAAGTGTGCTGATCCCTTAACATTTGTCAAACTTGTCATCAGACTAAAGTGAATTACTCTGCCCCCGCTTCTCTTTACCCTCCTGTCTTATTCCCATCTCATACATATTAGTACTGTTGAGATATTAGACTTTACTATCACATCTTGGATTCTCATATATTTCAATATTTCATATAAGGATTGTAAAAGAGATAATTCAGAATATCAGGGAAGAAGTTTCTACTAGAAATAAAATATATAAAAACACTCAAAGTAAAAAAAAGCCAAACAACCAAACAACCAAAAAAACCCAATATGGTTTGCTATTCGAGGGGGGGATATGTAAAAACTTTTTAAATAAACATTTGGAATTTTGTTTTAAAAAAAATCACAACCATGAAGATTGTTACAAGTACAGGCCCTCTTGATTCTCCACAATGATCCTGAGCATGCTCACAAAGGGTTCCCATTGTTAAGTCTTAAACAACCATCTTTAAAAGAAGAAGAAGAAAAAAACCTCAGCACACTACCATTTAACTTTTTTTAATGTTGCTTCATAAATGGTGAAAAATTCTAAAGTGCACACAAAGAATAATCATAATGCTGTGGCCAACATTATAAATATGGAATTATAAATTTAAGATTTTCTGCTTTAAAAAAGAAATCTGGTAGTCAATGCAGGCATTCAGGGTCTTTGTGTCTAGAAGTGATGGTCTCTGCATCCTGACGATGCTTGCCTTTATCCATTTTTCCAGGTTCTCCACGTCCGCCTCTTCTTCCTCCCATCTGCTCCATCAAAGGTCCAGGAGGACCCCCTGGGCCACCTTGTCTTCCTCTGCTAAAGCCACCTTGGTCCATTCCACGGCCACCTCGAAAGTCATCTCAGTCTCCACCACGCCACCTGTGAACATTCCACAGGGACAGCTGCTGTCCATAAGTTCACCTCTTTCTCCCCGCACGTCACCAGGGCCACCTCCGCCGCCATCACCACTCAGAGGTGGGAAGGGTGGCAGGAGGAAGCCCTCGGGTTTAAGGGCCTTACACTGGTTGTCTTCTGTTATCCAGGCGAAGTTCTGGTTTCCAGAACCTGGATTGGGACACTGCCAGTCTCTAGCACGGTGCTGGATTTCCTCCTCCAGAGGAGTTTCCTCGAGAACTTACGAGACTGTCTTGGGGGGAAGCCTCCTCTGTCTCCTCCACAGTGACCCATATGACCAACGGGTCCCCCAGGACCTCCTGGGCCACCAGGACCTCTACGGAGTGGTGGCATCATTCTTCGGCCCTCATGGTGTGCCATACCACCCCTCATGATGTTCATTGAAGGCTTCTTTTGGGCAAGAGAGACTTTAAGCTTGTTTCCTTGAAACTATTTCCCATCAGACCACTCCACAGCAGCCTTGGCAGTTGGTGGATCTTCATAGGACACTTTGGTATCACCTTTGGGCTTTCCTGTTCCCTTATCCAGGTAGATGTGGATCATGGATTGCCTAGTTCTCTTGTTCATTCTAACAACCCCACACTGCTTAAAGCTGCTGCTCTCAGTGATGGGCAATCAGCTGGTGAGGGTGCTGACGGAGATTACACATTTGTACTTGCCTTATTTGGCTTTGTAAAATGTCTTTCCATCCCTCCAGGGATTAATATCCTTAACACTAAAATAAAAAAAGGGACTTGATGACAAAAAAAGAGAAGTCTCCCAAATCATCGAGAGTCACATTGTCAATTAATCCTTGGCCATAAATTGTACTGTTGTCAGAATCTTCATCAGATATAGGAAAGCCTAGATGAAGAACTGGTCTTTCACCCATGGGTCCACCAGGCTTATTGAAGCCACCTCGCTCTCCAGCTCTGCCCATTCCACCACGGCCTCCTCACTGCCCACTTCTGCTCATGCCTCCACAATCAAATCTTCCTTTTCCCCTGCCCAGGTTATCAGGGCCACTCATCATCCCATTCTCTCCTAGTTTGGGAAATCCTCCAGACTCCAGCCCACATATACCCATGCTACTGGGGTGATCCTTTCAGAATCAACTCTGCTGCCTGTAGCTGCTGCTCTGTTGGCTATATTGACTTGGAGCCTAGCTGTAGGACCCAGTCTGAGGTGGGTAACTAGTGGGAGGCTGCTGCCCATAGTTGCTTTGTTGACCATAGCTACTCTACTACTGCCCATAGCTGCTTGGCTGTCCACAGGTGTTTTGCTGAGAGTAACTGTTTGGATCATAACTAGTTGGTTGTGAAGAGGAATAACTGGTAGGAGGATAGGACAGAAGTTTGGTGATTGGCTGCATGGAGAAGCTCCCAGGGACCTGGGGATAACTGTAGTTAGTTTGTCCATATCCTAGGTTGGGCTGGTTATAACCCCCTGAGCTAGACTGAAGTTAACTAGACTCAGCAGGCTTGTTACCATCCTGTGGTCTTAGAGGTACTGTGGTTGTTGGCTGCTGTCCATAGGCTGAATAAGCAGGCTGAGTGCCATAAGCAGACTGTGATGCATAGGAGGTCTGGGTGGTGGTGACTGTTGCAGTGATGGTATCATAAGCACCAGTGCCATACCGCTGGACAGGTTGACTGTATTCCTGAAGGGCAGTTGGAGTAGTATACTCAGTGGGAGCCTGTCCATAAGAAGTTGCATATGCAGTCTGCCCATAGGTGGCAGTGGTCTGAGCCTGGATATAGCTGACATCAGTAGGCTGTCCATAGGTTGCATAGCGTTGTTGCCCATATGCCTGGGTAGTTTGTGCATATCCTTGAGTTGGCTGGGTAATGTAAGCACTGTAGCCCCGCTGGACTGTAGCTAGGCTATAGGTACTATAATCTGTGGATGCCATTTTCTTTCCTTCCTCCTCATTCTCTCAACTCAAAATAATTTTTTTAAAGAAACAGAAAGAAAGAAAGAAAGAAAGAAAGAAAGAAAGAAAGAAAGAAAGAAAGGGAACTGGAAAGATGGTTCAGTGGTTAGTAGCTTGCTGCTTTTGCTGAGGACTAGAGGTTAGTACTCAGCACATACATCTGGCAGCTCACAACCACCATAACTTCAGTTATAAGGGATCTGACATTTTCTTTCATTCTCCACAGGAAAATACATACACATACACACACACACACACACACACACACACACACACACACCCCACACACACCCCTGTACCTGTACCTGTGCATGCATATATGTACATACACATACAAATAAAAATAAACTAAGCAAACATCTAGAAGTTCAGGGAACATAGCTGAACAGGTGGCAGAGAGAATATTAATACATCTATAAACTCTCATGAGCAAAACTTCCTCATGCAATAGAAGGTGAATAACACAGAGGCCACAACTGGCCAAAGTATAGAGAATAAGAGACTGCAGAGTGTGTGTACCAGAATAGGACTCCTATATCAAACCTCTGCCACTTAGGGCTCAGGGACTATTACGGAATAGGGGGTGGAAAAACTGTAAGACCCACCGAGGGCGGTTGATGACCACAAGGAAGTATTCTTTTCCAGGTGGCTGGGAACTTGCTCATATGAGCTCACAGCATGGTGACAGCATACACAAAACCCATGCAAACTCAAATCAGACAAAACCCTGGTATACAAGTGGGGAAACTTACCCATTGAAGTGGGTTAGAAACCACAACTTTAGCTGAGGAACTATTGATATCTGATCACTACTGGGTGAGGGAGAGTTGGTCATCTTTATGGAAGTGACACTAGGTAGGCTGACCAAGCTCCAGTTGATGGACTCACACCATAGGGTATTTTGGGACAACAAACTTGACTCGGGACTTAATATATATGACAGCATGCATGAAATCTGGCAGGGGGTTAAGGGAGGGATGCATATAAGGGAGATGGTCTAAATATGATCAAGATGCATTGTATGGAATGCAGAAAAATTCTATTAAAAAAATCTAGAAACTAGAATGTCTTGCTATCTCATCAAGTTTCTATGAATTCTTATTTCAATAGCTTTCAAAAACATATACAATATACTTTAGTTTACAAAGTATATTTTCATTTTTAATTATCTGTGGTAAAACTTAAATCACATTATAGTAATTATTTCTTCTATCACTTTTATAAATTCTATGTTCTTCTGTTTATAAGTAAAATGTAAAATGAGTTGATCATTCTAAATAATATTTAATTATAAGCTACTAGCAAATTTATTGCTCAAAACTGTGAAAAATTCTAAATATTAGTATTTAAGGTAAAATTTAAAGAAGTAGCTAAGATCACTATAATATTAAAATTCCTCATTTTAATAGTGTTTTTTTTTCAGAAAGTGTTTGAATTAGAATGTTATGTGTTATTTGGAGAATCTTGATTTTACTTCATTCTTGAGTTCAATTATGATGTCACTTGTATTATGATTTCTATATTTAAAATCTGACATATCTTGAACTTCTTGAATCATTATTTATTTAATATATTCAGTACTATACTATACTAATTCAGAATAGCATTAATATATAACACTCAAAAAGTGAAGCATTTGCTCTTTTATGCATGGCTATAGTCACCATATTTTAAAATTCAATTTCCTCTTTGAAATGACATGG